AAGCGAGACAACGTCGTTCTTCGTGTTGCTAGCACCGCGCTTAATCTCCAACTTCATCTTGTAGAGCCGCCCGGTACGCTCGCCTTCAGCCACCAGATTTCCTGCACTGTCCCACACTTTGGCTTTCCCCCCTTGCAAGAGAACGGAGGCACCTTTCTCTTCGAGTTGTCCGGCTGAGAGCAAGTTTGCTCCCAAATCAGGAACAAACAAAGCTTTATTGACACAAAATGACTTACCATCCTTTTCGAACTCAAGCTTGCCGACTCCTTTGATTGGTACTTTGCCAAGATCAGCAAGAGTCACAGCTTTTGAGTCATATGAGGGCTGAAAATCCTTGAGAATGGACTGATAGGGAGTCATGGTTTCAGAGCAGCCACTATCAAGAATAAACTCCTCACTACTAGTAGAGAAAACGTGCATGCAAGTAGCAGCGTTAAAAAGGACAGGACCATCGGACTCTTTGGACTCATCTTGACTTGTAGAATGACTTGCTATATTTGCTATGGCTGCCTTACCTTTTTCAGATAGTAGCTGAGGTGGGGGGACCCAATTAGGAGGCTTCTTAGGACAAGCATACCACGGGTGACCCCACTCATGACAACAAAAACACTCAAAATTAAACTTTTTAGCATTCGGGGCTTGGCTGAAATTATTGACTCTTGGCATATTGACTCTTGCATTCCTAGGCTGGTATTGATTGGGAATCGAAGGCCTTGGCTGGACATAGTGACTGGACTTATAGGGAGGACTTGACTGAGGAAAACGAGAGGGTTTGTATGGGTTGGAAGGTGACTGAAATTTCGTACCGTAGTAGGGTTGAGGGCGGTTTGGGCTGAAATTTCCTTGCCTCTGGAATTGGTTGCCATATCTTGTGGCTGCTGCAGCACTCCACGCACCTTCGTCACTCCGCTTGTTCCGTGCAAGGTCTCGACTCTGCAGCTCGTTGACAAGGGCCTCAAAGATGAACGCACGACTCTTCATTGACTGCGGGAGCGCTTGTAGTGTTGCACGGAAAGTGTCCCACTCCGGTGTAAGGCCGGTGAGGATGACGGTCTTGAAAAGTGACTCTGGAATCTCCAAGCCGATCGCTGCTGCTTCTTCCAGCATTGCTTCAGCTCGTTGTAGGTAGGCTTGTGCTGATTCATCTTCTTCCATCTTCAGATTCATGAAGCGGCTCCACATCTCGGCTTGGCTGCTCTCGGATTTTGACTGGTGCATAGTCTTCAGTCGGCTCCATGCTTCCTCTGCACTGTTTGCCTTGGTAGAACAGGGCAGGAGCGACTTCAACTGCTGCTCGTGAATGCTATTGAGTAGGTAGAGGAAGGCCTCCTTGTTGCATCGTTCGTAAAGTCGTTTTTCAGCTTCTGAAGCATCTGCTGCTGGTTTGGCTGCTTCTCCAGTGTAGTAAGGCCACAGATCCAGAAGGGATGCAGTGAGCTCAAACTGAGTTGCCCATGTTGGAAAATCTTTGCCGTTGAACTCGGGGAGGTGAAGCTTAGGCATGAAGGAGGTGAGTGGTGAGTATGTTGTTGAAGGACTGCCTGGTGCAACTGCTTCCACTAATCCAGTAGCTGCTGATGTTGACTCTGAAGCTCCTCCGGCTGGCTGGAGTGCAGGACCAGATGGATTGTCTCCCGCCATGTACGTATGGTGCTAGGATAGGAACGTGGTGGGCTAGGTTGATCGAAACGACAAGCTCTGATACCAACTTGTAAAACAGAGTAGCTGTGACTACTGGAGGGCTGGAAACTTGGCTGGAAAGTCTTAGCAGGGCTGCTGGAATTGACTGGATGAGGTAAAACTTCACTATGTTCAAGATTAACAAGCCCACTAAAGCACAACTCTAGGCATCACAAACAAGACAGATTGAAAGCTCAAACTAGGCTGATAGACAATGTAACATTTCCTTGGTAACTTGGGCACAATCTAGATTGGATGGACCTTGAGTGACTTTGAGTGCCACATGAGGTGCATGAATAAGAAAACTCTGGATATTTCTGTTATAGCTGATTCTGATGTGTAGAAACCTGTAGAAACTGCCAACACTTCGGTTTGAAGGCAGCTTTGAACTATATCGAGTCTTCGGCTGAAATCTGATTGGTGGTGGAACTTTCGAAGTACTTCCCGAAGCTCTGATTCATCGCCGACATTCCCCCTTGCTGCTGCTTGTGTGCAAAGGGCTGGGGCGGCAGAAACTCGATTCTCCAACAAACTGGACATGGATTTGCCTCATAAGGGCGACTGGCCCCAGTCGGACTGGCGTGCCTGGCGAACAGGGCCCAGGTTGCAAAACTTCTGTACGCTACCTGCGGTCAACTTCGTTTCGTCACAGTGCGAAACGATAACCTTGAGAACCGCTTTCCAACGTGTGGAACCGTCCTGAGCCACGATACAGGAACGTAAATGTGTGACAAATGTGCAACCTGACGCCTCCCCAAGAGGTTCTTTTCTCTCTGGTTCAGGTGCCAATCCCGAGGCTAATCGGCTGGTTGGTTTGGCCCTCGAGATCTCCTGAACTCACGAATCCGCGAATTGTTGCGAAAGCGCTGACGAAATCACGAAGCTCTTATGACTTGCGAATTTGTGCGCTTCGTGATCCGGCAAAATCTCGCCATCGTGGTGCTTTCAGATTTCGCATACAATTTCGTTCGGCTGTGGTTATCGGGTCCTGGGTCCATAGCCTAGCCACAACGACACCAAACAACCGACTTCTTCGCAGCCACGGAGCTCCAGTTACCCGTACTGTACCAAACCTTGAACCTGTAGGTTCGGACAGACATCACGTTTTCTCGGACAAGCAGACAACCAGTCAGACTGGAGCTTCGGACTTTGAAGGCCTGTTTACGAGTTTCCACGACGCTCCTTGTTCTGTACTCAAGATTGCTACAAGTCCGAATGTTTCGTCGACGAACCTGACTACAAGTCGGTGATGTTAGTCATAACGAATGGAACCCGTTTCGTTTGATGGCTATTGGATCGACATAATCTTCAATGGACCAAAACGATGGGCAAGAGAACCTTTACTTGCAACACGTCCTCGTACGTCAAATCCGAGAAGCGCCTTTCTGTCACAGAAACCATTCTCAGGCCACCATTCCCAGTTGCTTCCATGACTGCTCCTCGGACCAAGTCCAATGGCTCACGCCATGTCATTTTGTGAAAGCCATACTCCACACCACACTCCTTTGGCGTCGCTATAATATGCTCCCCTGCTCTGTTTCCGTAATCGGCGCTTGACGTAACTGGTCGGAGCTTAGGATACGTTTCATGTTGTAGGCTGGACAATCTGTCTTGTCGGTCCAACGTTACACTACGAGTGTACGCTTCACTTAGTCGGTGAAGTTGCGCTTGTACGCAGCCAGTCTACGGTTAGGATTTTGCGGTGTGTGCTAAATCGTGCGGTTGTTGTAACGACAGGCAACTGACGAGTCATAAACGTACCTCGACAGCTAGAATCTCTTATGAGACGTTTTAAGATACGCCTACTAAGCGTTTGACGAGTCAGTATACTACCCCCGACGGCAGGAAGAAGCATCCAACGAGTGGGATTTTTTCCGACAGCTGGAGGTTTCACGAACAGGCAGTGTTAACAGAGCAGCACTAAATGGTGTAGCTCCAGCCGGAACTAATCATCAACTGTTGACCGTTAATAGCCGACCGTCCGAATTCGATCGTTAGTAACTGATCGTCAGCTGCCGATTGGCACGCTACCAGCTGACCTCCGATAAAATCGGGTATCACAAAGCCTCAGCATCCTTCCGGCAGTGTCCCTTTTCAAGTCCTTGCATGACGTGCCAGTAATAAATAGATGTTGGTGGTTTTTTCAGGCGAGTCAGAAGTTAACCACTGACCACTAAGCTGACTGTAGGGTCTCCTGAATTAGGACAAATAATGGCCGGCCTCGTTTGTCCTGTGTGCGAGGGGGTCAACCTGCCGTCACTCTGCTGTGACTGCGTGGATCGCATGTAAGTGAGAGAGTGCGGTGGGAAGGGGTAAAGAGGGTGGTGGTGATGGGAAAGGTAGAGTCAATCTTCGAAATAATTGGAGTGAAACGAGTGCGAGACAAGGAGGGAGAGAGGGTTCATGCATTTGTGCTCATTTTTCTACAACTTTCTGATACAATTGTTCCCATGCTTTCAAATATTTGAAACCAGCAGAGCAAAATAAAGCGACATGTTGATTCGAAAGCGCACTGTCTTCTCCGTCCCTTCTCACGATCCCTTACTGCCCCTATCAGCCAGCACGAGCAACGACGGCACCTGGATGGTATCAGATGCCACAGAGACCACCTGAAGAATCGCCTGACAGCAGCACTGGAGAGCCAGGTGGGCCTTCTGTGAGAGGGACAGCGGAGTGAATTCGATTAGAAGCGGAAATCTCTACGTCTTCTTGTTTGATCGACATGTTTGTTGGTCGTCGAAATCGTTCCTTTCTGTATGTTGTTAACCTGTGTTTCACTGTCAGGGTGGAAAGTATCAGTGGGAGGGGCGGCGGAGGGAGGTGGAGGAGCGATGCGAGGAGCTGAAAAGGGCGATCGCCAAGAATCGAGCTCAAGTCATGGAAGGTGAGAGGGGGGATGAAGGGGTGATGGAGGGGAGAAGGGCTGGAAAGCGTAGGAGCGATGCGGGTGACTGACGAAAGCAATTGCCGAGGAACGAGCTCAAGTCATGGAAGGTGAGAGGGGGGGAGGTTGGCGTTTACGTCCATACGGTTCAACTCCACCTCCCCTTCCTCTCTCCCCATCCGCCCCACTCAGTCCCTGAACCCCTATCCTGCTCGTGTGAGCATGGAGCAGGTTTGAGAATCCGTGTAGTAGTGATATCAGGCATTTTCATGCGCCCAGTCCTCCGTTTCAAACCCTGAACTGACTGACGGAACTTGGTGCTGTCATACCATATCAGATGATCTTGCAGCATCTTCCTTCAATTTTGAAGGGACTTCACAAGCCCATGCGTGTTCTAAGTTCTAACTCCGATTGAACCCCTCACTCATCAGATCGCATGAGGTTGGAGCAGCTTCGGTTACAGCTCAACTCAAAGAAGTCGCTCCTCGCACATGCCAACGCCGTGGTGAGTAGGATGGATGTGATGGTCGTTGTTCAATTACTAGAAGCTTTTGGAGAGTTTTATCTCAGTTCCGTATCAAATGGTATTTCCTTGGCGAGGTGAGCAGCCACAGGGATATCGGTATTCTCCTCTCGCGTACGCCCTTGTTTCCCCCCTCTTTCCCCGTCTTTCCAACAGCTGGCCATGCGCAGAGCAGCGTTGGTGCACGCAGGAGCAGCAAGGGCGGGTGGAGCAGCAGCGACAGGGATGCCAATGGCAAATCCTCTGTTCCCTCCGAAATTAGCCCCTATTTCCCTCTCTTCCCCCTCTCTCCTACAGCTGGCCATGCGCAGAGCAGCGTTGGCGCACGCAGGAGCAAGGGCGGGTGGGGCAGCCACAGGGATGCCAATGGCAAATCCTGTATTCTCCTCTCATTTACCCCATATCCCCCCCCCCCCCCCCTCTTTCCTACAGCTGGCCATGCGCAGAGCAGCGTTGGCGCACGCAGGAGCAGCCACAGGGGCACTGACGGTCAATCATCTATTACCCTCTCTCGTACCCCTTGGTTTTCCTCTCTCCCTCTCTCCTACAGCTGGCCGTGCGCAGAGCAGCGTTGGCGCACGCGGGAGCAGCCCCAGGGGCATTGAAAGGAGATGGTGTAGCACAGGGAGCAACCAACGCGGCCAGAATGGGACCAATGGGGTCGACAGGAGCAGTAGGAGGGGCGGGAGGCACGGGCAGGATGGAGCAGGGAGGAGATCGGACCAACTTGCAGGCTCTGGGCAACTTACAGGTGCGTACCATCCTGCACAGTGTGTGTTTGAGAATTCTCAAAAACGCTCTGGGCAACTTACAGGTGCGTACCATCCTGCACAGTGTGTGTTTGAGAATTCTCAAAAACGCTCTGGGCAACTTACAGGTGCGTACCATCCTGCACAGTGTGTGTTTGAGAATTCTCAAAAACGCTCTGGGCAACTTACAGGTGCGTACCATCCTGCACAGTGTGTGTTTGAGAATTCTCAAAAACGCTCTGGGCAACTTACAGGTGCGTACCATCCTGCACGGTTCAATGAAAAGTGGAGAAAATCATGTATTCTTGCGGTTTTGTTTGGGAGGGAAGGGAGGGGTGGGAGGACGGGCAGGATGCAGCTGGGAGAGGACCAGTCTAATTTGCATGCTCTGGGGGGAACTTACAGGCACGTACCACCACGGCTCGAATGTGGAGAAAAATACTATATTCTTGTGATTTCGGATTGGCTGTTGAGATTGTATTCTGACAGATGTGTTCCGGGTCAATTCAGAAGTCACCTTTTTCCTTCTCATTCGTGCATGTGTGCATGTGTGTCTGTGTGTACGTGTGTCTGTCTGTGTGTATGTGTGTGCATGTGTGCATGTGAGCAGAAGATAGTGCAGGGCGCACTGAGAGCAGGCAAGCAGCTGTTCCTGAAGAGACTTCGAGACATGGTCCCCAATGTCTGTGTCTCTGTGTGTGTGTGTGTGCATGTGTGCATGTGAGCAGAAGATAGTGCAGGGCGCACTGAGAGCAGACCAGCAGCTGTGCCTCAAGAGGCTTTGGGACATCTTCCCTTTCAAAAAGGTGCATGCACTTTACCTCGTCTTGCCTCGCCTCGCCTTGCCTTGCCTTGCAGCTTCCGTACCTTCCCTCACCTTGCCTAGTCTCCTCTTTAAGTCTCTTGCATTTTCTATTTATGCATGCAGCATCGTTACGTTACCAACCCTTTTTTCTCACTATTTGCCAATCTGTTTCAGGTGCCCCTGCCGCCCAACCCATCACCAGCCACCACTCGATCCCCAACCCCTCCTCCAACCACCACCACCCCCAGCACCTCAGCTCTCCACATGCCGTCCTCCTCCCCTCTCCTCTCCTCCTCCCCTCCTCTCATCTCCTCCTCCTCCCCTCCTCCCCGCTTCTCCTCCTCTCCTCCCCTCCCTGATCCTGGGGAATTCACTCTCTCTATCTGTGGCCTTCGCCTACCCTCCTCCGACGCTCACATCCCGCTCATCCCTCCCTTGGAGCTCGCGGCTGCAATTGGGTGAGTCCGTGTTCCCTCCCCCTTCCTGCCAGCCCCCCCCTCTTCTCTCCCCTCTCTTCACCATCTCCATCTGCGGTCTCCGCCTCCCCTCCTCTGACGCCCACATCCCGCTCATCCCTCCCTTGGAGCTCGCTGCTGCTAAAGGGTGAGTTCGTGTTCCCTCCCCTTTCCTGCCAACCCCCTCCTTGCCTCCCCTCCTCTGACGCCCACATTCCGCTCATCCCTCCCTTGGAGCTCGCTGCTGCCATAGGGTGAGTGCTAGTGACTTATCTCCGCTGTGTCGCCTACCTCTCCTCCTTGCCTCCCCTCCGTGCCTCTCCTCCTCTGATGCCCACATCCCGCTCATCCCTCCCCCAGAGCTCGCAGCTGCTATCGGGTGAGTTCCTTTCCTCCCTCTTCCTGCCAACCCCCACTTATTCTTTCTCCGTCCTGACTCCCTGATTCTTCTTCCCACCCTGCTCTTCATATATATTTCTGTTTATTTCTTTTTAAGCGCATCAGATATCTTTTATAACTCCCATCTTCCACCCAACCCATCCCGTCCCACCCTATTTCATCGCGCCCCACCCCACTCCACCACTCCAGATGCTTGATTCGTCTTCTGGAACTGCTCTCCAAGTACCTCTCCTTCCCTCTCCTGCATGTCGCTGCCTTTGCAGTGAGTGCTTTTTTCTAATTGACCTGAGTTGACTCGCGTTGACTTGTGTTGACTTGTGTTGACTTGCATTGACCTGCTCTCTAAGTATCTCTCCGTCCCTCGCCAACGTGTCACACGAACAGTCGTTCTGGACTGACCCTTAATCCTCCCTCCAGTCGGCCCGCATTGACTTGCATTTGCTTGCGTTGACTTGCCGTGACCTGCATTGACTTGCATTGACTTACATTGACTTGTGTTGACGTTGCCCGTCCTCCCTCCAGGCATTTCCAAGGTGTGGCACCGGCAGTCATACTGGTCACTCACTCCTCCCTCCTACTCCCCCTGTTGACCTGCGCCGACGTGCGTTGACTTGTTTTGACCTGCGTTGACTTGCATTGACTTTGCCGGCCCTCCCTCCAGGCATCATCATCCAAGGTGTGGCACCGGCAGTCCTACTGGTCACTCACTCCTCCCTCCAACCCCAGGTGAGAACCCATGAGAATTGTTTATATACAGAAAAAAAAGAGTATTACACCAACGAATTATGTCTCATCTCATGCTCCATTTTACTGTTTCTGTTTCGGTTTTGCAGGGATGTAATTTCCTTCTCTCTCACACCATCTCACTCGCACTCGCAATCTCCCTCCTCCCTCGACTCTTCCTCCCACTCCCCCTCCTCCCCTCCCTTCTCATCCAACCTCCCCTCCTCTCCCTCCGCCTCCACACACTCCTCTGCCTCCACCCTTCCTGGAAGCTTCCTCTCTTCCTCCTTCGCCTGCAACTCTCTCTTTGACTCGTGGGCGGGGATACCGCCTTCCCAGCTACAAGACGAAGCAGGCCACCCAATGAATTTCTTTCATGCTTCAGCAGCCAATCAGCAGCTGCCACCTGGCGAGATCAAGCAGGTTCGGCGAGGGCTGCGGTTGCTTCGGAGAAGTGCTGCCTGTCTTGCCGCCGCCCACACCGGCAGGTTCGGGATTGCCAAACCTGGAGATGAGGTTCGGGGAGGAGGTGGTGCTGAGCTGGACGAGTTTGCTGAGCTGGCGATGATGATGTCAGCTGCCACGCGGGACACGCGGTTACCCTTCATGCGGTAAGCTGAGTTCCACTTGCTCAATTATTGAGTCGACTAAAAAATCGACTTACCTCTTTCTCACGGTCTTCAATCCGTCCAATTTTCCCATTTTCCCGTCCTCCTCACACTTTCCCCCTCTCTCGGCCCTTCCTCCCTTCCCTCTCTTCGCCTCCCCCACCTTTCTTTTCTTGCAACAACCTGGCATGCAACTCATCGCTTCACCCCAAACCTTTCGTGATAAGTCGAGTTTTGAGTCGACTCAAAACTCGACTTTTCTTTTCTTGCAACAACCTGGCGTGCAACTCATCGTTTCACCCCAATCCTTTTCTCCACCGCAATCCACCACAATACTCAAAAGGCCTCCCCACCTTTCCTCCAACAACCTGTTCCCGTTCTCCAACCCTGTCTCTCTTCCCCTTCTCCTCCCTCACTTTGCCTTCCTTGCAGCAACCAGGCGTGTGACTCCTCGTTCCTTTTCACCCCCCCCAACCTCCACCACCACTCAGCCTCCCCACCTAAAACCACTCCATCCAGCTCTCTCACACCATTACCCCCTCGTTCCCCCTTCCCTGCTGCCTCCCCTTTCCCTTCCCCCCTCCCCCACTGGGCTTTCTTTGCAGCAACGAGGCGTGTGACTCCTCGTTCCTTTTCACCCCCCCAACCTCCACCACCACTCAGCCTCCCCACCTAAAACCACACCATCCAGCTCTCTCACACCATTACCCTCTCGTTCCCCCTTCCCTGCTGCCTCCCCTTTCCCTTCCCCCCTCCCGCACTTCCCTTTCTTTGCAGCAACCAGGCGTGTGACTCATCGTTCCTGTTCTCCCCCCCGACGTCCACCACTGCTGGAAACCCTCCCTTCCCTGCCCCATCCCCTTCCCCTTGTCCCCATCCGCCGCCTTGCCTTTCTTTGCAGCAATCAGGGTTGTGACTCCTCGTTCCTGTTCTCCCCCCGAACGTCCACCACTGCTCCACCTCCCCACCTAAAACCGCACCATCCGGCACTTTCCCCCCTCGCTGCGGCTGCTTCTCCCACTGCTGCTGCCTCTTCTCCCACTGCTGCTGCCGAAGGGGGGGGAGGGGAGGGAGTGCAAGTGCCTCACGAGAACCTTCTTGGAAACTCTCTCGTTGAGGATTATATTAGCACGACAGCAGCAGCTTTGGTAAGTGAGCGGAAATGAGGAAATTAAAACAAAAACAAATCAGGCTTGATTTATTTCAAAACTCACTCATTCTGCAATGACCGCTTTAGGTGTGTATTGAAGTCTTCCCCTCTCTTCCTTATTCAACCCCACACTATTCCCCACCCTCTCGCCCGCCCTCCCGCTCCCTCCCCTATCCTAAGCTGCACGGTCGCAGAATGCCCTGCAAACCTTTCACCTTTGATACAAGCACAACCAGAAATCTATCCCACTCAACCTTTCACTCCTCCTGCTCTCCCCACCTCCCCGCTTCCAAGCAGCACGGTCGCAGAATACCCTGTAAAGTCATCTCTGATACAAGCACAAGCGCCGCTCTTTCCCACACCCTTCGTAACACCATTAACCCCAGCCCCAGCCCCAACACACCTCTGAACCCCAGCGTATCACATCATAAGGGCAGGGCAGGTTCGGACATGCCATCCTATCTGGTCTCTGAATCCGGTGCAAATGGGTTGAATCTGAAGCAGAGACTGCTGGGATCGAGAGGGAGGGGGCACGGTGAAGGAATGGGGTCTGTGAGAGAGGGAGGGCGTGGAGGAGGGAAGGAGGGAGGCGAGTGGAGGGGGGAGGTGGGAGGGGAGGAGTGGGCGGTGGTTGATGCGGTTCAGTTGCCACCTCCCCCATGTGATGCCGAGGATGTGGAGCATTGGGCTCGAGCGATGATTGTTGATGCGAGGAGGTGAAATGGGGGGTGGAGCTGATTCGAGGTGGAGAGGTAGGGGGAGGGGGAGAGAGAGGATGTGGAGCATTGGACTCGAGCGATGATTGTTGATGCACGGCGGTGATGTGCGGGTTGGGAGAGGGGGGAGGGGAGGAGGGGCGGACGGAGGGGATAAGGTACTGGTAGCTAGAGGTGGAGGGCGAGCAGGAGATTTAAGGTACACCAGGGCGAATTGTATAAAAGTACAACATTGTACATATGGTACGGCTGTTAATTATCGTAGTTATTTTCTTTGTCTCGACGAAATCGGTTCTATATATACCATGAGATGGGCCCTGTCTATGCAGTCAAGAGCTTGGTGCTGGTTGAATGAATTTGAATGAATAGAATCACGTTACACTTATTCAATCACAATATTTCTTGCATGCATGCTGGTCTGACCGTATCCCAGAGGCGGATAAAGAACATCCAAGAAGAATGTCAAATCGTCAGGGACTCTTACGGTCCCTGTAGACACCCCTGACGTCAGAGGTGCCTGTCTCAACCATACCTTGGGACACCGGAGTGATCTTGAGGCGCCTCTGGTCTGCGTGTCTAGGCAACCCAGTAGGTACACCACACCAGCTCTCTCCTCCTTCAGCCTACTTCCCCATAAATACCATTTCCGCCGCTTCCAACCTCCCAAACCCATGTCAGGCTGACAGGAAGGCCCTTCCCTAGAGTGCCGGTGGTCACGGCTCGTGGCACGTCAGAAATACTCTCGCAGGATCAACCTCTGTTCCCCGCATATAAAAAAGGCCAATCATGGCTTTGCTGGACCAGAAGTCCCATCAGCAGTGATTTCTCCCAAAGACGCACCTTCCATGTCAGCTCAGCAACCAAGTTTGAAGGAACTTGGCTGTAACTTGTCAGCAGTTCCATCCGCATTCAGTCTTCCTGAAGCAGCTGAGAAGGAACTTGTTTGATGAGTTCTCAAACAGTCATGGCTGTGTTAGGCCACAACTCCCATCGGCAGTGAATTCTTCAACCACAGCAACTGCCATGGCAGCAACCCGCGCACTGAGCCTTCCGGAAGCTCGCTGGGACTTGCAACCATGTCTCCTTGACAGAGAGCTGTTGCACGGAGAGAGTTTGCTGGCACATGGGGAGAGCTTTTCAGCAGCAGACGCGCCGTGGCGACGCCACTGATTCTGGCGAAGTACGTCGGACGCGAGCTTGCGACACGCTTTGACCGTGCTACACGTGGTTCTGTACGTCGACTTGATCGTCAGCGTTGCAAGCGGGAACGTGAAAGCAGAGGAGGGGCCTTCAGCAACAGTCAAGGGACCCTTAGGTGATGCAGCAGCAGCAGCATTCGTGCTGGAAAATGAAGCTGCAGGCGTGACGGCGAATGAAGCCGCAGGTTGGATGGCAAAAGCAGGGGGAGGCTGAACAGCAGAAGCAGCAGCAGCCTTCGCAATGCTTCTGGGAGAACCAGAGCCGGAAGATGAAGATGGAAACAACGAGGATCCGCAAACCCAAGGGTCGCTCAGGACCTCATCAATGGACGGTCGGATCTGCGGGTCGGTTGCGAGCATCGAACGGATGAGATTCTTCGCTCGGCCCGAGATGAGCCACCAGCAGGGGGAATCCCAGTCTTTGCTGTTGTCAAACCTTCGGCTACCGTTCGCGAAAGTCGGCCATTTCCCCGACAGCATCGCGTAGAGAGTAAGACCAAGGCTCCAAATGTCCGCGGCGAAATCGTACGATTTTCCCGCCAAAACCTCGGGAGCCTCGTAAGGGGAGCTGCCTGCATAGCCGTCGATCTTCTCCCCAGGTGCAAGCACCTTCGAGATTCCAAAATCCGCGAGTTTCGTCGTGAATTCGCAACCTCGACCCATGAAGTCGCTCATTAGGGTTAATCTAGGAGACCCACTCGGTGAACCGCTTTCAGACGACATTCGCCGAAGGAGAGAACCTGAAGTTTCGGCGGGAAACAAAAGAATGTTGTCGGGTTTGACGTCTCGATGAATGACCCCGTTATAGTGGCACTGCTTTAAAGCCATGGCGACTCCTCTGAACAGCTCACGCGCCTCCGACTCCGGAATCCGTCCCTTCTGCTCTATCCGCGTTAGAAGATCGCCGCCGGTAGCGAGCTCCATTACAAGCACCACTCCCTTTCCACCCTCTCCGATAAAAGCATCTTGGAGAGTAACGATATTTTCACACCCTTTCAGGAGCGAAAGAGCCGTTACTTCCCGTTGCGCCGCGTCAACCGCTTCCTTGCGCGCCTCAACCACCTTTCAGGCGAGTCGCCTGCCGGAAACGCGCTCCGCGCATTCCGCAACGACGCCGAACTGTCCCTTTCCCAGATCCTTCCTGATTTCGTACTTTTCCGCGAAGGCGCTCAGAGAATTGCGCTGCGCCATGAATGGATTTGTATGTTGCTTGAATTCGGTAACGAGTGATCTATCTCTAAAGACCTATGTGAAGGGGGCGATCGATGACTGCGGATATCGAGGACTGCGGCGAATGAGGAGAAATCCCTCCTACTGTAGGATCGTCTGAGCGAACGCAGGAGAAGACGTGAAGGATTGATCATCCGCAGTGCTCTTGGAAAAATACGTGAAGATTTGATCCGACTGACTATGAAAGCTCGGCACGACGCCATGGTAAGTAGGTAGTAGTACTCAATATCCCTGCAAAGGGAGTCGCGTCGCGTCGCGGAGAGAACCCGGAGTTTCCTGGGTGCTGCTGGTGAATGGATGAAGTGAAGCCCTCATGTGCTCCTCATGTGCTCGTCATAGCAGCACCAATCAGGCGCAACCAGGAGTTTCCTGGGTGCTGCTGCTGCTGCTGGTACCTCGATAGTGCCGACTCACGCGCCACGCGCGGGTCACACGAAGGACAACTAACGGTCGAGTCACCCGAAGGACAACTAAGGACAACTAAGGACAGCTAAGGTTAGGACGATCGACGATCTAACGGGTTGGTTTGCCTTGGCTGCTGTGGGGTGGGGGGTTGGGTGGAGCGACGGGGAGAGTGGGAGGGTAGGAGGGTGCAGGGGAACAACGCGGCTCGATTCGACGCGCTTTTGAGATGAGCAGTTGGCATATCTACTCCCCGGGTAACCCTGTTTGTCGTGATTAGGTCTGAGAATTCATTCGCCTGGGTTTGTGGGGAAGATGCAGCTCTCCCCAACACACCCCCCCCCCTCACCCCTCCACTCCCCCCCTCCCCTGGTAACCGTCTGTCGTGATTGGGTCTGAGAAATTATTTCGCCTGAGAAGATGCGGCTCTCCCCAACCCCCCGCCCCCGCTCACTCCCCCCTCCCGCCTGGCCACCTGGAATGACAAGCCTTTCAGGGGTTGCTAGGAAGGAGGTGTGGGGCGCCAAGCGCGTTGGGCAACAGTCTGCGGCGAGTGGGCCCGGTTTGCGCGTGAGCGAACATCGCTCGAGTTACTCAGCAGGTGTTCACTTCGCATGTAGAAATTTGGATGTAGCGATAAAACCTGCGAATACGATTGTTACCGGCAATTCGTGATGTCGAGTCTGGTCAAATTTCAAGGAAAATTGAGGACCTCACGACGAGGTCAGCGCAGACTGTCAGCGTCGTTCCACGCGCATCCTCACACTAACGGATGCGGTAGCAGCATTACAGCTTTCTGATAAAATGTACTTTTGTTAGACGTGACAGACTCTAAGGTGTCCACTATATACGTATATTGTTTTCTGAAAACAAATCCCCTTCCTTCTTTTGCAGGTTACTGCCTTGGCTGGCAGTCTTATTGAACTGCATGACCTGTGAATCGGCACTGAGTTGCCTAAACTTCTGCTCCCTCCATTCAATGTTAAATGTTTTAGATCTGACTCAAGGTTTACATGTCCCTCCACAACCAAGCATTACCACACCATCCAAGGTGTGTCACCATATGTTGTACTGTACTTGCCACTCAATTCTCCCTCCATTTCTCGTGTTGACCTACCGTATGGCCCCGGATATAGGCGCCGTCCGGTTAAATGCCCCGGCGCTTCTATCTGGAGCATGACGCTTATGGCCGGAATTCGGTTATAAGCGCCCCTCCTGTAAAACCCTGATATATTATAAGCACATGCCAAATTTATTTTTAAATCCTGATTAAAACGGTAACGAATTTCAAATTTTCTAGCGAGTCAACACCCCATTTTCACTTTGTTTGACTTTCGAGGACCTACTGGTTGCGCGTCCAGTCAGTATGAGCTGGCACGCGGGCAAAATGACGTGCCAATGCTCTGTGCACCGTCAAGAGAATCGCCCTCGCACGATTCTGATTCTGGACCCTGTAAAATTTCGATTCGATTCAACTTACGAGACTGAAATGTACAATTTGGTGCGTTTAAGTTGTATTTCTGTATTTGTCATTATATAAGCGCCGGCTCTTATGGCCAATATTCAATTACAAGCGCCCCCCCTTAAAAAAACTGATTTTATTAGAAGCGCATATGCGCTACTCTCCGGGGTAATACGGTATGTTGACTTTGCCGCCCTCACCTCGCCCCAAACATCATCGTCCAACATATGGCACCAACATTATTCATGACCCTCACTCACATCCGTTGACCTGCGTTGACTTGAGTTGATTTTTCCCGTCCTCACCCCAGACATCATCGTCCAAGGCTTGGCTCCAACAGCCATTCAGGAGCCTCACTTCTCCCCCCTCCCTCCATCTGTTGACCTGCATTCACTTGACTTGACTTTGCCCGTACTTCCTCCAGGCATCATCATCATTCAGAGATCTCACACACATGTATGGACAGAGAAACGCTTCAACTACGATAAGACCCTCGGCTGCTGCTTCTTCTCTCGTAAATCAACAGTGCCACAACGACCAAAGAGGCGAATGCAACAAGCCAGGCCATCACTAGGGCCGTCACACAGCCGCCCGGAAGCAGACCAATGAGCATCTGCCACGTGGCATGGGTTGAGGGGGTGAGTGAGTGAGTGAGTGAGTGAGTGAGTGAGGGGCGACAAGTCAGGCTCAAAACCAAAAACAGAATATTCCAAATTGACAAAAAACAATAACAACAAGGTGGAGGGAACAAGCCACGATCCCATGTTCATTTCCCGAGGCGCCTGAAATTGTAACTGTTACCGGATAAGAAAGGCAAGATGGGCCAAGTAGGAGCGAGGAAACTCACACACACTGCTGCTGCGGCGTGCAATGCAGGAGCTTTCATCTCTTGAGGGGTGGAGGGAAAGGTGTTCTTTGAGGATGAAAAGAAAACGCCTGGAGCAAAGGCCAGTACAGCGGCAAGGACACTCACACACACTGCTGCTGCTGCGTGAATCGCAGGAGCCTTCATCTCTTGAGGCGTGGAGGGAAAGGAGAAGCGCCACTCTGACACCTGCCCCAACTGCCCTTCATCTGCTGCTTGTGTGCTTCCTGCTGCTGCTCTTGCTGCTGCTGCTTCAGTACTCCTTAAAGGCTGCCTCTCTTGCACTGCCTCTGCTTCTCTGCTTGACTGTGTTCCTGGAGCGAATTCTGTCCCCTTGATAAGCTGCGCCTTGTGTGCGTCATAGGCCAGCACCATTCCCAGCGAGTGTATTATGAGGAACGCTGCAGAGGCAATGGCTGAAAGAAAAAATGATGCAGAAAGCGGAGGGAGAGAGGATGCTTTGCCATTTATAAGAACTCTTATTAGCGAGGATGTGGAACGAAGAGGGAGAGAGGAAATGGGAGTGGAGGAATAACCAGCACCACTTCCAGGGTGTGTATTATGAAGAACACTGGATAGGTCTATGACTTTTGAGGCGACTCAAAGGCTGTATAGACCAACACCATTTCCAGGGTGTGTATAAGAACGCTGCAGACCCTATGGCTGAAAACGGGGAATGAGGAGGAGAGTGGGGAAAGAGGAGAAGAGGGTGGAAGTGAGAGGAGAAGAGAGTGTGACATAAGCCAGTCTCCACCCTCCCCCACATTAGGACCATGCAGGGCGTTGAGTATGCAGGGCGTATCTACAAGCAGGTTGTACCTGCAAGCAGGGCGTACCTGGTGTCTGCAAGGAGAAGGTAGGTCGTACGTGGTGTCTGCAAGGAGAAGGTAGGTCGTACCTGAGAGCACCACAACCGGCAGTTGGGGGCAGCGCCACGAGTAGAAGGTGGCATGCAGGGCGTCAGGAGTACCTAACCCTGGAGTAGGTAGGTCGTACCTGAGAGCACCACAACCGGCAGTTGGGGGCAGCGCCACGAGTAGAAGGTGGCATGCAGGGCGTCAGGAGTACCTAACCCTGGAGTAGGTAGGTCGTACCTGAGAGCACCACAACCGGCAGTTGGGGGCAGCGCCACGAGTAGAAGGTGGCTGGGCCGATGGCAAGTGAGGAGTTCTTCCCTCCCCCACATCCACCCTCCCGACATCTAGGACAGAATAAGTAGGTCGTACCCGGCAGTTGGGGGCAGCGCCAGGAGTAGAAGGTGGCCGGGCCGATGGCGGGTGAGGATGGCCCCCCTCCCCCACATCCACCCTTTCAAACATCTACGACTAAGCAGAGCGTGCCTGCTGTCTGCAATGAGTAGGTAGGAGGTTGTACCTGAGAGCACAACAAGCGGCAGCTGGGGGCAGCGCCAGGAGTAGAAGGTGGCAGGGCCGATGGCGGGTGAGGAGACGCTGAGGAAGAGGAAGAGGGAGTGAGCGATGCCATGGCCCAGACCGGTAGCTGTGGAGAGCGGCAGGGGGGTGGGGGTTTGGGGGGGTGGGGGAGGGAGAGGAGGAGGGGGGCTGTTAGTAAGGATGAGGGGAGGACAAGGCAGGGACGCTGAGGAAGAGGAGGAGGGAGTGTGCGATGCCATGGCCTAGACTGGTAGCTGTAGAGGATTTGGGTGGGGGGGGGGGGAGGGGTGTGAGCAGGGATATGGGAAGGCAAGACGAGTGGGTATTATGAAGGTTGAGGAAGGAAAGGGGCCGATGGCGGGGGAGGAGACGCTGAGGAGGGGGAAGAGGGAGTGAGCGATGCCATGGCCTAGACCGGTAGCTGTGGAGAATTGAGACAGAAGGGGTTGTGAAAGAAGTGTGGGGGAAGGGGGCCGAAGTGAGGGGAGGAGAAGGCAGGGACGCTGAGGAAGAGGAGGAGAGAGTGAGCGATTTCGTGAGGGAGGGGGGGGTGGGGTGTAATGCTTAGGTGATACTTACCAAGAGAAAGGTGGAAGGTGTTGAGAGGGGAGAGCGGGGGCAGGCGTCTTGCAGCAGCTATGGCGTTTAGACCTCGCTCCAGGCGACTGGGGGTTGGGGTTGGGGGGGGCGGGGAGGGGACGGGAGGAAAAAAAAGGAGGAAGAAAAAGGGAGATGGAAAGGGTGGGCGCGGCACTGAGCGGATCACAACAGGCGTCTTGCAGCAGCTATGGCGTTTAGACCTCGCTCCAGGCGACTGGGGGTTGGGGGCACGAAGGAGGGGAAACAAGGGAGGAAGAGAAGAGGAGGAGGAAAAGGGGGGAACAAAGGGGGGGGGTAGTCTGATCTGAACGAGGGTTGCTTGAAGCAGCATGCTCATAAGGAGCGTGATAAAAGAGGGGTGCTTACACTAACATGCTTACAAGAGAAGTTGGCCGAGCAGCTCTTGGCCAACAACGGCAGAGAGGAGGAGGAGGAGGAGGAGGAGGAGGAGGAGGAGGAGGAGGAGGAGGAGGAGGAGGAGGAGGAGGAGGAGGAGGAGGAGGAGGAGGTGTGAGAAATAAGAATGAGGCCTTGACTAGGGAAGGAGGTGCTTACAGTAGCATTTGGCAGAGCAGCTGTCGTGAGACCTCTTGGGCAGCAACAGCAGAAAGGATGAGGAGGAAGAAGAAGTGGGAAGTGCAGGTGCTTACACCAATATACCTACAATAGCATTTGACAGAGCAGCTGTCGGGAGACCTCTTGGGCAGCAACAGCAGAGAGAATGAGGAGGAGGAGGAAGAAGTCGGAGAGAGCAGTGAGGGCGATGAAGGGACGCCAAAAGAAGGCGATTGCGAGGAGTGTGATGAGCCAATAGAAGGTGCTGTTGGTGGTGGGGAAGGGAGGGCAGGCAAGGAGAAGAGGGAGGGGGGAGAGGACGGGGGCGTGGGGAGGGAATGGAAAATGATGAGGAAGAAATCAGAGAAAGCAGTGAGGGCGATGAAGGGACGCCAGAGGGATTGCGAGGAGTGTGATGAGCCAATAGAAAGTGCTGTTGGTGGGAGGAGGGAAGGGGGGGAGAGAAAGGGACAAGGGGATTATTGAGAGAGCTGTGAGGGCGATGAAGGGACGTTAGAGAAGGCGATTGCGAGGAGGGTGATGAGCCAGTAGAACGTGCTGTTGGTGGGGTGGAAAAGGGGAGGGGAGAGGCGAGGGGAAGGGAGAGGAGGGGGAGGGGAGGGGTGGGGAGGGGGGGGAGGAGAAAAGGGGGAGAAAGGAGAATGCACTATGATCGTAAATAAGTGTGATTCGCTGTGACTCTAAACACCCGGTGAGAGTAACGAGCTTAGCATTAACCACCTGGTGAGAGTAACGAGCGTGACTGTAAGCACCTGGTGAGAGTAACGAGCGTGACTGTAAGCACCTGGTGAGAGTAACGAGCGTGTCTGTAAGCACCTGGTGAGAGTAACGAGCGAGAGGAACGCCTGTCGCGATACGGTCACGGCAATCACGGCAATGGCCGGTCCGAAGCCAATCAGAAACACGCCGCAAAACGCGGCGAATGTCATCTCGGCCGACCAATTGTCGGTCGAGAAAAGGCTGAGGCGATTTAGGAGTCTAGACTAACCCATGACGATTCGTGTTAGTCGAGCTTCTGTCAGAATTCGTTGGCTGTTTGTTCACAGATTCACGTCTATGAGAAACACGAAGTGCAGATATGTGCTGAATCGATAATCCTACCAAAGCTCACAATACACTTGTTTCACAAATAGCGTAAATCGTTACGTGTGATTTGGATAATGCTCCACGCTGCACTGCAGCTCCAGCTTACTCATGCATGCCTTCATCGCTGCATTCACGGAACAAAATTTTGGTGTAGATGGTGCTCTCAACATACTAAATAAGCGTACCCTTCTAAAAGCCTCTGGAAGCACTTCACTTCAACTATCAATGATTTGGTACCAGTATCAAGTGTACACCTATTTCCAGCTTCTGGGATGATGCTTTTTAAAAAGGCGGTGCGCCGGTGTGCCATTTCTGCACCTCTCAAACTAGGAACTTTAGAACCGCACCGCACCACAACCACACATCCTTCATTGCTCGCTATACATGGCAGACTGCTCCACCACTGTAGCTTCCCGCTGCTTACCGCCCGTAACACCAGCAGTGCCAGCAGCAGGGGCCAGGGCTTCAGCAGGCAGCAGGTCGCACTGAGCCACGTGCTGCAGCAGCTGATCTGCCAGCACCAACGCTACCATAGCCTCTACCATAGGGACAGCTGGTGGGAGGGAGGGAGGGAAGGTGAGAAGGAAAGGAGACGAGTGAGAGGCTTCAGCAGGCAGGTCGCACTGAGCCACGTGTTGCAGCAGCTGATCTGCCAGCACAAGAGCTACCATTGCTTCCACCATGGGGACAGCTGCAGAGAGGGTAGGAGGGTCAAAAGGAAGGAGGGGATGAGGGGAGAGGGAAAGGAGGTGAGGGCTTCAGCAGGCAGCAGGTCGCACTGAGCCACGTGCTGCAGCACCTGATCTGCTAACACGAGTGCTACCATTGCTTCCACCATGGGGACAGCTGACGGGAGGGGAGGGGAGGGAGGGGAGCGGGGCGGAGAGGAGCAGGGGAGAATGAAAGGAGCTGAGTTAATGACCATGAGCAGGCAGCATGAGCATGAAAGGAGCAGAGCAGCCACGTGCTGCAGTAGCTGATCCGCCAGCTCTAGCGCCACCATTGCTTCCAACATGGGAACAGCTGAAAGGAAGGAGGGGAGGAGATGAGAAGAGAGCATCACCAGGCAGCAGGTCGCACTGAGCCACACGAGCGCTACCATCGCTTTTCATCCATACAGCTTAAACAAGCTGATGTTTTCCCAGAAAGTACCCACTTCTAGACCCAGAAAAACTGCCTCCGCCACCCACCTATGGACACCGCAACTCACCTCTGGGCACCACACAGGGGTCGTGCCGGCCACGTGCCTTGAGCTCTGTCTCGACACCCTCGCGAGTCACCGTGCGCTGACTCCTCTGTTGGCGTGCAGAGAGGGGAAAGGGAAGGGGGAGAGAAGGGGAGACAGGGGATCAGCTTAGAAGCCTTGTGCCTTGGTGTTCCATTCAGTGAAGTGGATATCACGCGCCATGAGCTCTGTCTCCACCCCGTCCCTGGTCAAGGTGCGCTGACTCCTCTGTTGGCGTGCAGAGAGAGGGAGAAGAGGAGAGGAAGAGGAGGAGAGGGAAAGGGGGAGAGGGAGAGGGAGAGGAGGAGAGGGAGAGGAGGAGTGGGAGAGGAGGAGAGGGAAAGGGGGAGAGGGAGAGAGAGAGGAGGAGAGGGAAAAGAGGAGAGGAAGAGGAGGAGAGGGAAAGGGGGAGAGGGAGAGGGAGAGAGGGAGAGGGAGAGGGAGAGGAGGAGAGCGAGAGGGAGAGGAGGAGAGGGAGAGGGAGAGGAGGAGAGGGAGAGGAGGAGAGCGAGAGGGAGAGGAGGAGAGCGAGAGGGAGAGGAGGAGAGGGAGAGGGAGAGGAGGAGAGGGAGAGAAGGAGAGGGAGAGGAGGAGAGGGAGAGGAGGAGAGGGAGAGGAGGAGAGGGAGAGGAGGAGAGGGAGAGGAGGAGAGGGAGAGGGAGAGAGGGTCTGGAAGGGAGTTGGTCAGTCTAGGGGCTTTGTGCCTTGGTTTTCTGCACAGTGAAGTGTATTCTACGTGCCTTGAGCTTTGTCTCCGTGCCGTCTTTCAAGTTGGCTGAGAGCAGCGAGAGCAGATGGCCGAGCTTTGAGCATCTGGATTGAGTTCAAATGTTCACTTTCACCGTCGTGACTCGTGACTCACTGTGACGGTGGAGGTGGGTTTGAAATGCCTGCCTGAATGCTTTATGAATGCACCCAAAATGCCCCTTTCATGCCACCTGAAAGCTTCCTGATTGTCCCTGGAAGGCCATCTGAATGCCCTGGATGGTGCTGCAACCAGCTCAACCAAACTCACTGTGATGGTCGAGGTGGGCTTGAATGCCACGCGCACCACAATATTCTCCCCGTTCGAGATGCCCCCCTGAATGCCCCCCAATCGCACCCCCGAGCATAATCTTTTAAGAGTGGATACACATGTGATAGCATACAGACTCACCGTGATAGTGGAGGTGGGCTTGAACGCCACGCGCACCACAATATTCTCCCCGTTCGAGATGCCGCCCTGAATGCCCCCCGAGCGGTTGGTGCGAGTGCGGATGGCCCCATCCGGAGCCACATAAAACTCGTCGTTGTGCTCGCTTCCCAACATGCGCGTGCCTGCAGGAAGGGGAGGGAGAGGGGAGGGAGAGGGGAGAGATGGATGGGTGCATGCAGGACGTATAAGCGGAAACAAGCTGAGCGGTTGCCGCACGTGCGAATGGCCCCGTCCAGAGCCATGTAAAACTAGTCGTTGTGCTCACTGCCTAGCATGTGTGTGAGGGAGGGGGGGCCAGGAGGGACGAAGGTGCTTCTTGGTGAAGGGTGCTGAATCCCCCGAGTGATTTATGCAGGTGCGAATGGCCCTGTCTATGGCGACGTAGAACTCGTCGTTGTGCTCACTGCCTAGCATGCGCGTGCCTGCAGGGGTGGAAGGGGGGGGGGGGGGGAGGGGGAGGGAAGAAGGTGCTTCATGGTGAAGTGTGCTGAATGCCTCCAGAGCAGTTGCTGCGCGTGCGAATGGCCCTGTCTATAGCGACGTAGCACTCGTCGTTGTGCTCACTGCCTAGCATGCGCGTGCCTGGGGGGGTGGCGGGGAGACGGAGAGAGAGGGGGGGAGAATGGTGGATCACAACAAGAGGGGTTGAGTGCGGTGCGGATAGCCCCGTCTCGTCGGCGCAACACACAGAAGACAGCCTCAAATCCAGTTTTGAGGCGCCTCAAAACTACAGCCTCAAATCCGAATAGAGTGTGCATCACAAGGCATACCTGAGCTGAGAGCCTGAGAGGCCGCTCCCAAGTTCAAACCCCTTGGTGGCCGGCAGAGACATGAGCGCTCGGAGGATGGGATGCAGGAGAGGAGAGCATTCCATATGGGCAAAGCACAGCACACTGAGACGACTTTTGAGGCGCCTCCAAAGTCGAGCGCTCAGAGGATGGGATGCAGGAGAGCATTCCATATGGGCAAAGCACAGCACACTGAACACACCTGGGACGCCACTCCCGATCTCAAACCGCTTGGAGGCGGGCAGAGACAAGAGCGAGTGACAAGAGGGCATGGAGCAGAGCACGGGCATCTCCGGGGGGGAATACACACTGAGAACGATCTCAAACCCTTTAGCAGCGCATCACAAGGCATACCTGAGAAGCCACTCCCGATCTCAAACCCCTTGGTGGCGGGCAGAGACATGAGCGCACGGGCTAGCTCGGCCTCTAGCTTGTCAAACACAGGCGAGCCCAGCCCCTGGTGGGGGAAGGAAGGGGGGGAGGAGAGAGGGAGCAAGGGAGGAGGGAAGAAGGACAGTGGAATGATGAGACATGAGCGCACGGGCTAGCTCGGCCTCTAGCTTGTCAAACACAGGCGAGCCCAGCCCCTGGTGGGGAGAAAACGTGGGAGAAAAGGTGGGAGAGGAAAGGAGGAAAGGTTGGAGAAGGGCGGAGAAAGGAATGGTGAGAGACATGAGCACCCATGCTAGCTCTTGTTCCTTCCTGCTACCCCAGAGATGGCACCACTTGACACTCCTCCATACCCACTCCACTTACACAGCGCTTTAAACAGGGAACCCCACAGGGGCACAAGCTTTGCTACTCAGGCGGGGGCCGCGGGGGTGAGTGACGGGGGCCGCGGTGGTGAGTGATGACTACGCCTCTAGCCATCAGCTCTAGTTGCTGCTTACCCCCGACCGACCCGACACAGCTTTTCTAGAGTGAAAGCAGCCACGACCCACCACCCTTTGAGACGTCTCAAAACACTTGTTCATACTGATGACTACGCCTCTAGCCATCAGCTCTAGCTGCTTACCCCCGACCGACCCGACACAGCTCTTCTAGAGTGAAAGCAGCCACCACCACCCTTCTTCTCAACACCCATCTCACCCGAGGGACGTTCCTGGCCACGCAAGTGACCACGCCGCCACAGGAATCGCCCTTCACCCTCACAGCGTCGATGGCATCAATCATCCGCTCTGCAATGGCAGCATCGGGGCAGCGCACGATGTTGGCCTCCACCTGAAAAGAAGAGGAGCAGGAGGCGAAGGAGTGGGTGATGAGCTTGCCCTACATACATCCTCACAGCATCAATCAATGGCATTGATCATTCCCCCCCGCCACGCCACTGCCGCATCGGGGCAACGCAACGCACTATGTTGCTCTCCACCTAAGGCCGGGAAGGGGGAGGGGGGAGGGGAGGGGGTTGGGTTAGCCCTTCACCCGCACAGCATCAATCAATGGCATTGATCATTCCCCCCCGCCACTGCCGCATCGGGGCAACGCAACGCACTATGTTGCTCTCCACCTGAAAGGAGAGGAGCAGGAGGCGAAGGAACGGGAGCAGAGGGCGCACAGCACAGTACGATACACATCAGCAGTGCAGTGAGTTGCCCTTCATCCTCACAGCATCAACCATTCGCTCCGCCACTGCCG